TCTTTTCTTGCGTATTGAGACTGAAAGCCCTAAACCCGAAGAGGTCATCTTTGAATTTGCAAAAATATCGTTGGGTATGCCGCACAGATACTTAAAAACCCATCAAGCCCTAAACTCGGTCGAGTACATTCATTTTCTTGAGCAGAAGTGGACGGCCTTCATATTCGAAGTAGACGGTGCTTCTGCTGGGCTGCATGCTAATCAGTGCAGCAATCCACGCAGCTCCGGTTTCCGCCACAGCGTTCCGGCGCTGTGGCGGAAACCGTTTGCATGCGGTTCGAACCCAGGTTTTTCTGCAGAAAACCAGAGTTCATCGAGTGACCAATTCTTTTTGTGCTTTTATCTCTTTATCAGCAGCTTTATTTGAGCCCGGGTCGAAAACCTAAATTGCGAAATTAAAGCGATCATCTACACTGGAAAACTGGATTGAAAACCAAATTTGAATCTTCGCGAACCACCATCGACAAACTCCGTCGAAATACAATTCAAACCGAGACTCTACATCGATCAAGAACACACACCGATCACCTAAACCGATAATCTACCGGGACATTCTACGAGGAGAACCTACACCGAGAATCTACAGCGAGGATCTGCCTCGAGTAAGATTTACGTTTGAGAATCTAAATCACGAATCTACGTCAAGAATATACGACCATAATCCGAATCGCGATACTTCGTCGAGAATCCATACAGAGAATACACGACGAGGGTCGACTGTTGTCGCGGTATGCTTGCCCCCCACACTCACGGAACGACAGGGATGAAGAATCCTTGTCATCTGGAACTACCCCGGCTACTACGGAGCAACGGCGTTGCGAAGGCAGTTGCGAAAGCCGATGAAAATGATGCGGCGCTGATGTGCGAAGCAAGATGCTGGCGCAACTTTGCTAGAAAAAGCTGGCGTCTCAATCGGGATGATACTGCAAGCGCATAATACATCACCTGACTACAATACACAAATAAGCAATCTAATTTCTCGCGTTCTATCTGTAGAATTCTGAACCTTGTCCTTTTGTTCGGCGAGTCTCGGCCGGAATAGAGAGCATGGAGCAACATCATAAATTCGACGACCTCTGTTGACACTTTGGCACGAACAGCGATAAACATGACCGAGTTGAAGAAGAACGAAAAGAAACTCACGCTGCTTCGGTGTCCCAATCCCGTCTCTCAACTAATTTCGTCGCCACCATGGCAACCCGGTGCTTTGCCCTTCCGGTCTTTGGTACACGTTTCCCGTGGGGCGGCAGATGGGAAACTGGCCGGGTCCGCCCCGGCCCGCATACTGCATGCCGCGGGTGGTGTCACCACTGTACGGAGCTCTGGCGCGCCTTGCAGCTTCCTCCCTTTGATGTTGCTCCACTTCTCTCCTTGCAAGCCTATGGATTGTGTCTCGGAATTCTTTTTTTTCATCGTCGCTGAGCCCTTTGATAAACGCGGTTTTTTCCTCTTGACTCATATCGGTCCAGGGCTTCACCAGGCCGTATCGGACTTTGAAATCCTCCCATTCCTGAGTTGTTGTGACCCCCGCCCCATCCTCCGTCTCTCGATGAAGATACTGATTTGCTCCGAAATGTGGACGCTCTTCCAGGAACGACGCTCCGTTTTCTGTGCGTGCGCCGTAACTATTTCGCAAGCTGCTCGCTATGTGCCGGCAGCTCTCCACGTATTCCGGAAAGGACACCGATTCAGAACCTTCATGTGGTCGCTGCCCCGAAATCACCGAAAAAACTTGCCTTAACGCAGCGAGGGCTGGTTGCAAATTGAAGGCCGTTCTCGGGTCAGAATCGCTTGAATCCAGCTCGTTGTTATCGTTTCTATCCAGCTTCGCAAAAGCAACCATGTACTCCGCCAAGTCGAGAACTGGCACTGAGAAGCGGATACTCGGGCTCTTCATCAGTTTTTCAACATTGGGCTCCAATTTGGGCCACATGGCGTTGCTCTGTAATCGCTGTAGCGTGATGTCAGATCCGGCCCGCAAGATCAAGTTCTCGCTCTTGGCTTTCTGATTCTCCACGGAAGCAGAAACGTCGACCGCGTTTTCTTGGAATAGGTAAAGCTGGAGATCGTAAACCAAATCCATATCGTTTTTCGTGAAGAGCACCGGCGGTTGCTGTTGCGTGAGGTGATTGGCCTCCCCCAAGAACGACGAAGGGGCGCCGTCCACCAGGGCCTGGCTGGACTTGGACACTTCCGTCGTCTGCTCCACCTTTGCGCCATTTGGTGCAGCTTTGGTGTCGTCGATTTGTCCTTCTGCTGCCGGCTCTTCTGTGTGTTTGTGTCACACGGGAAAGGCTTCTGCCCAATACCAATTGCTCCAGATGCGAGTCTGCAATACAAATGATATTGTAAGGCACTTACTCCCATTTCCAGCACTGTAACCTTTCCACAGAAACAGAACAATTACTAAAGCCGACAGAAGGACGTGGGATAGGCATTTGCTGTGGGAAGCATGCCTGATAGTCACATTGGTTTTTTATACAAGTTGTTCTTTTTGCACTTACTTGCCGAGTGACATTGGCCAGATTCTCACGCCAGGAACGTCTATTGGAAGCACCTCTTGCAAAAATTCCCTGCGAAACATGCCTCGCGATCTTGTGTGGCCCTGCTTACTCAGTTCTTCAGAAATTTCCACAACTGTCCTGGAGTCTGGGTTGGAGCAAATCCTTCGGGTGATATCTCCGCATCGGAAGACATCTCTAGAGCGTGTTCAATGACATGCTCTGCAACGCACTCTCCAAAAACATCGGGATCAGGCTGAAAACAATCCCGCCCTGGAAAGAGGTGCAACGTCTTCGTGATGACCCCTCAAGACGAGCAGGAGCATCAATTCTGTCACATGCAGTCACTTTCTGCAAACAGGACATTGACTATCTGCTTGTGCGTACCCACTTGACAAGTTTTCACATGTAGAATGTCACTCTTGCATGTCGAGTGTGATTCTGGGACTTGACAATCGTCGACCAGATTACCTTTTTTGTTCTCAGAAAAGCGCATAAATCCCATGCTTATTTTCGAAGTCAAGAAATCGCGGCTCTGGTGCACGCCGCTTGTAAACGTTGCGTGATATCAAAAAATTATGCGTTCTGGGGCGGAGAGCTTGCTTTGTGGTCAATACTTGAAGGCCGACAAAAGCACGAACATCTTTTTTGCTGATGCGGATGAGGAAAGTCGCGTGCCGGAGATGCTGTAATTTTATCACGGCTTGCATCACTGTATCAAGAAACTGAAAATACGAATGCGTAAATGAAAACGGGCGAGGAGCTGAAACTAGCCTTCGAAACATGAGAAAAAACAAAAATTTTCTTACCGGAGATAATCGCTTTGACTGCTGTAGCAGTATCAAGAAACAAAAGTGCGCCGCTCTAGATTTGGACTACGTACTGCCAGCGAAGGCACACACTGGGTGTAGGAACGGCCCCGACACGTCGCATAAACATGACATCTGCCCCGGAAGGCACTTCCTTTTCCATAGGTGGAAAAAGCCTCGCCCGGATAAAGCACTTTCTTTTAAATACAAGCCCTATGCACACACTGGGTTGCGTCGCACAAAAAGCTACTCCGGAAGAGGCCTACTCAAGCAAAGACCAATAAGCTAAACGCATTTTTTTTCTCGGAATACTTTGAAGTATGCAATTCGATCAAATGTTCACTGATATCAGATTTGCTTTCGCGGCAGAGCTACAGCTCGTTGCAGCTCCGCAAGTGTTCGCACTGCAGAAAATACTTTTGTCCGGAAATTTCCTGTCTATCAATTTTGCCTCGCCCCCACCAGTTTGCTTGGGCGGGCGGCTGGCAAGTCGGCGCTTCAAGGCGAGCCCGCAGTTGGAGCCAGGCTCTACATACGACGTTGTAAGTACTTTTCTGCGGCATGGACGTTGATGATATCTTTATCTTTTCTGGTTGCCATAAATCGAAATTATCTGCCTTCAGTTCCGGTTTTAATGTGATACGGGTCCTCGAGTCTTGGCGAGTTCGCGATTTAATGCTTTGTATGGAAAGGCCAAAAGCATTTTACTTCGGCGGATGATGACAGCCCATTTACAAATATCGCTGAGTAATTTTTCACCATATCACACTTGCCTGTATCTGGAACCATGATCTAGAAAAAAAGAAATGAGTGGCGAACCCCCACCAGAACGTTGTAGACGTCATGCGTGCTCCTTGCTTCTACTTTCATAGTGAGAACCAAAGTGGGACGCGGAGGCACTTGGAGGCATATTGTTCAGAATGAGTTTCTACGGATCCAGCATCCGTGACTCATGATGTATCTGTAGCATGCGTTGTCCTGGGAGCAAACTAGTGTGGAGATCTAGCCGCTTCCATCGTGCCCTCCATTACGCCACCTCGACTTTGCTGATTTTTACTTATCCATCTTGTAGATGACGTCGCAAGATCTGTCAAATTCCGAGCAAGTGCATTTTGTAAAGTCAATTTCCTTTCGTATCTTCTCAAAGGCCTTTTCCACCAACCTCAAGTGGCGCTCAACATATCGGAATGAATACCCCAGCCCCCAAACCGGCAGTCAAATTGATTCGCTAAAAGACACAACCTTCGATCTCGTCGTATAAGTTGTTGTAAATCTGCTCTATGTTCGCGAGGTGATAGAGAACAAACCCTCGGTCGAAAGATTTTCGCCCAGCGTCACTGAAGCTTGCGGAATCTTGTGCATGCATACTGGTCAGGAAGAAGGCGCGATCTAGGATTTTCATGCTTGATTTGTTATCGGCTCTAGTAGATAATCACTGAGCGCGAGTATTAGCTGCAGGAGCGTAAAAATTAATGGAGACTGCCCTGTTGCATGTTGTCACGATCATCACGATCATCACTACATATCCGACTGGTCCACTGGATCCGACCTTCGATCGTGTTTAGTAGTCGAGAACCACCGCCGAGAAGCGAATGGTACCGGATGGAATCCTTCGCATGAAAAAACACGACAGGTGCTGGCGCGAGGGGCTGTATTGCAGTATGATACGATGTCGATAGTCCGGCCGCCCGCCATCTTGCTTCGCGGCTCACTACTAAGGGACATGCTCATCGCTTGTCTTATATCTGCTTGTTCCCGCGGCTAATTTTTGCGAACCACAACACATCAATCATGTGAAAGTGTTACTCTTAGTTTCGGCACAGTAATAGAAGGCTCTTGCACGGAAGTATTGCAAGCGCCAGAAAACTAGATACAAAATCAAAGGCGGAAGCAGCTCGCACATGCGGTGGCGCATTTTTCTTGCTTGGGGAAAAATAAAGGCAAGGGGAGCTACGCTTCACTCAAAACTCTGAAACTCTCAGTCCGCTCTTACTCTGTCGCAGAAACCAGCTACTTACTCATCGCGTATGAAGATTGTGCTTGCACTTACATTCACAAATTGAAGGCTGCGGTGGAGGAAAGACAATGACTCCCGCAGCTCATCTTACGAGTGCCTATCTACGGTCATCATGAATCGCGACAGTCACCGGTCTTCGCTCGTGAAGTGGCAAAGGCCGTTAGCTTCTATTCTCTTTTCTTGCGTATTGAGACTGAAAGCCCTAAACCCGAAGAGGTCATCTTTGAATTTGCAAAAATATCGTTGGGTATGCCGCACAGATACTTAAGAACCCATCAAGCCCTAAACTCGGTCGAGTACATTCATTTTCTTGAGCAGAAGTG